ACCGGCACGGTGTTTACGACGAGGTGTTTCTCCAGCAGTTGCCAGGCGCGCTGCCTGAAAGCTTTCTTCTTCATCCAACTTTGCACATGAACCTGCCAGAACTGCTCTAGCAGGTGGTTCCACTCCGCCGCCCCGCTCCAGTTCGCAGAACATATGTCGCGCGGCCACTTGCTCGAGGCAAATTTGATGAACAGAATTTCGTCGAGGACCTTTGCAAAAGTAGGTCCCCAATGACTTTCCCTGGACTTGTCAGCACCTGACGAGTCTTCATCTTCTCGCAGCTGTGCTGACGCGGAGACGGCACCTTGCTTAGTTTGTTCCGCAGCCTTCATTGCCTCCCACTGGATTCGCCCGATGAACTGCTTTTCCAGCCGCTTAACGTCTTCCTTGCTCAGCCGCTCCGTGCGATGGAGAAACAAAGCTCTGGCCGGAGCTGTGCCGTGGCGAAACTTCTCTTGGAAATCTCTCGGCGGCCTCCAAACTGAAAGGAGATTGAACAGAATCTGCAAACAGAAAACCGCAGCCTGCCACTTCTGGACGGGTTTGCGAAAGTGCCAGTCCCACCACTCGGAAAACACCTCCATGTCCAAGCCACGGCCAGACCATGGGCAGTCTTTGTAACCGTCGCTGGCGGTCCATCATTGCGCGGAACAAGGAAGAAGTTCTCATTCGTTTAGGCGCTGCAGGCGAATCCACAGGGAAGCTGCTCCGCTTCGTCGCCTTGCTTGGAGGAGGCACCACCACAGGCGTTGACTTTGCACCAGAACCACGATTGCATGGCGGAGGAAGCACCACCCGAGGCGGATTCGTCGCCTTGCTTGGAGGAGGCACTACCACAGGCTTTGACTTTGCAGCAGAACCACGATTGCATGGCGGAGGAGGCACCGCCCTAGGCGAATTGGACATAACTTTCTGGTTTGTCGCGGAGGTGGAGATGCAAGCAATTGTGCTTTGATGTATGCAAAGAAAACTGCAGAAAAGCCATGTGCTAGCAAGCTTTTTCACTCGATCGTTATGAGCATTGACCGATCTCAATGTTTGGGAGAAAAAGTACTGCGACGTCTTTTCCAGTTTAACTGTGACGCCTATGGATCTGTTGCTCACCTGCGCATTCACCGGTCTTAAGCCCGGACATCATCGCTCTGAGAAAAGAACGGAACCACACCAAACTGCAAAGGCTATATCCTCAGCCGCTGAAGCAGACAAGACGACCATAACTTTTATATAACGTACAGAAACACAGCGCTTGCTCTAGGATGTGTCATGCCCAGCCGCTGAAGCAGACTCGCCGGGTATGACACTATGAACGCTAGATATGATGCCATATCCTCGGCCGCTGCAGCAGTCAAGCCGAGCACGACTTTTATATATAACGTGCAGAAACACTGCGTTTGCTTTATGATGTGTCATTGCCGGCCGCTGAAGCAGACTCGCCGACTGTGACACTATGCATGCTAAATCAGATTCTACATGATGTCTATCCTCAGCCGCTGAAGCAGACAAGCCGACCATGACTTTCATATAACGTGCCGAAACACAGCGTTTGTTCTAGGATGTGTCATCCCCAGCCGCTGAAGCAGACTCGCCGGGTGTGACACTATGCTCGCTACAGCATTTTTTACATGATGCCATAGTCTCGGCCGCTGAAGCAGACAAGTTGACCATAAATTTTATAGATAACGTACAGAAACACAGCGCTTGCTCTAGGATGTGTCATGCCCAGCCGCTGAAGCAGACTCGCCGGGTATGACACTATGCACGCTAGATATGATGCCATATCCTCGGCCGCTGCAGCAGTCAAGCCGAGCACGACTTTTATGTATAACGTGCAGAAACACTGCGTTTGCTTTATGATGTGTCATTGCCGGCCGCTGAAGCAGACTCGCCGACTGTGACACTATGCATGCTAAATCAGATTCTACATGATGTCTATCCTCAGCCGCTGAAGCAGACAAGCCGACCATGACTTTCATATAACGTACCGAAACACAGCGTTTGTTCTAGGATGTGTCATCCCCAGCCGCTGAAGCAGACTCGCCGGGTGTGACACTATGCTCGCTACAGCATTTTTTACATGATGCCATAGTCTCGGCCGCTGAAGCAGACAAGCCGACCATAAATTTTATAGATAACGTACACAAAAATCTAAAAAATACATATATATATATATATATACTATTTTTTCGTATTGTATTATATAGTACAATGGAAAGTACAATGTATATATATATATATATATATATATATATATATATATGTATATTGTAAATGCTACTATATAATGGATATATCAGAACAGAAGCAAAACTCGTCGCAGAGCCCGACAAATGCCTGGCGGGGCACGAGCGTTTCTTGGCTGGCCTGGCATTATCACATTATACTGATCAGTGCCAGTGGGTTTTGCGCTGCCCACTTGCGCCATTACTTCCGAAGGTCCGTGGTTTGCGCTATTGCTGTGCACTCTTCCTATCAAATCGTGCAGCACGGGCGAAACCCTATCACTGTTAAAGAAGACTGTGTTACTGTTAACTGGTTTTTTTCATGGTAAGGACCCTTGCTCTTTCCAGCGAGCTTTGGCAGTGATTTTGCAGCTGCCACAATATGCATCCGTATCTGGCCTCCGAGACCACAGCAAGCCTTGCTTTCTTGCCTGCCCGGAAGGGTTTACAGAAATGCGAAAGATCGTCTTAATAGCTTCGTTTTCTTCCTGGCAGGAAGCTCCAGAGAAAAGGAGCGCATCATGTTCCCGATAACAGGCCCGCTGCACTTCTACGGCCGGAGTCCGAAGAGCTTCCTTTTCTTCCTGGCAGGAGGCTCTATAGACTATAGAGAAATGAGGCGCATCATGTTCCGGAGAACAAGCCCGCCGCACGTCCACGGCTGGAGTCGGAGGAGCTTCCTTTTCTTCCTGGCAGGAGGCTCTATAGACTATAGAGAAATGAGGCGCATCATGTTCCGGAGAACAAGCCCGCCGCACGTCCACGGCTGGAGTCGGAGGAGCTTCCTTTTCTTCCTGGCAGGAAGCTCTAGAGAAAGGAGCGCATCATGTTCCCCAAAACAAGCCCGACGCACGTCCACGGGTGGAGTCGGAAGAGCTTCCTTTTCTTCCTGGCAGGAAGCTCTAGAGAAAGGAGCGCATCATGTTCCGGAGAACAACCCCGCCGCACGTCCACGGCTGGAGTCGGAAGAGCTTCGTTTTCTTCCTGGCAGGAAGCTCTAGAGGCCAGGAGCGTATCATGTTCCCGATAACAAGCCCGCCGCACTTCTACGGCCGGAGTCCGAAGAGCTTCGCTTTCTTCCCATGGCAGCACCAGAAGGTCGGGCAAGCTTTTTGCTATCAAAACTCATCGATTCACAGTGCTGCGACTCATCGATTTAAAGCGATTTACACTGTGCTGCGACTCATTTAGCCGCACATCCCGCCTGATCCCTAATCCCTGCAGCATTAGAAGTGCTGCAATGACGGTGCAGCAGTGCTACTTGCTGCTTCAAGGCGTACACAGTAAGTAGTTCCGTCAAATGTTCCTGGTCGTACAGACCTCAGCATCAAAAGTGCTGCAATGACGTAGCAACTGACCACTTGCTACTTTGTGTTGTTAGTGGTGAAGGCTTTGTTGTATTACTGGGGCTTTTGCGCTATTACTGGGAAGGCTTTGTCGGTGTGTGTGTGTGTGTGTGTGTGTGTGTGTGTGTGTCTGTGTGTGTCTGTGTGTGTGTGTGTGTGTGTGTCTGTGTGTGTGTGTGTGTCTGTGTGTCTGTGTGTGTGTGTGTGAGTGTGAGAACTCTTCTTGTTCATGAACAAAGGGAGTCACCGAGGCAGAGAACGGGACGCTCCGTCCGCCAAAGCTCTCCCCGACACAGCAGGCAATCGTACCTGCTTTCGCCCGCTCATGGATACCCGTGCGATATCTCAAAAAGCCTAATATATCATGTTGATCTTCACCTCACCTCGCGCTACATCATTCCTGGTGTCTGATGTAGCGGGGCAGAAACCTTACCCCATGGATCATCTCACCCAATTATGGTTGCCATTCCTTGTGTCTGGCATATTTGGTACCACAAACTTCATTTCCTTCCCTGGAGACAATTACCACCAACATCATCAAGCCGTCCACGAGTGCAACCAGTCTTTGAAAAAAATTGTGTGCGTGTGGTCTCTGTCTGTGTGCGTGTGTGCGTCTGTGTGGGAAAGTCGAAATGGACGTTCTTACAGTTCGGGCGTGGATGCTCCGACAGAACGGATGAGGAGGCTTAGATAGGCTTAGATTTTGTGCTTTTATGCGCCGTAATGCCTGGTGCGAGTGCTAAACCCTAACCCTACCAGTCCTCAGGAACTGATCAGTTGCTGCGTGTTGCCTGTCAGACTGGTTGTTGACTCTTCTATTCCTCCATGTCTTGTTGTTCATGTTCTTCATTACCGCTTCGCTTCACCGTCTCGACTCCTTTGGCCATCTAGATCTCATCGTTACCGTGGCTCTGTGTAATTTGTTTGTTCACTTTGGTTGCTTGAGCCCATGTGATAGCTTCGGGGAATCGAGGATCATTCCAATGTGTGGATGTGTGGATGTGTCAACGTGTGCATGGGTCTGTGTCCGGGTCTGTGTGCTGTGGCGACTGTGTCTGGGTGATTATGCCTTTGCCGGTGCCTGTGATTTCGTCTGTTCTTTGTCTGTGTCTGTGCCTGTGTCTGCCGTCTCTGTCTGTCTGTGTCTGTCTGTGTGTGTGTGTGTGTGTGTCTGGATCTGTCTGTGCATGTTGAACATGAGAAGCCGAGATCAGCCCGTAGACTCGAAACTCGAAGACAGAGAGGCAGAGCACGATGGTAACCAGGCGTGCCATCAGATGGGGTTAGCATGCAGACGCCGAGGTATGCGGAGGTCGAAGATTGGGACGGAGGGCATGGTGTGTGTATTCCGGGCACAAGTACCAGCCCAGCTTTCAGAGAGGGGCGAGGTTGAAAATCAAACTCCGGCCCTGCAAGAAAAACCAGCAGCCCTGAATCACAGCGTCGAGGTTGAAGTCTTGCAGGGCATCAGATGACAAACGTCAAAATAAAACACTACGTTTTCATCGAACAACAGACGGCAAGGAACAACCAAGAGACACCCATTAAGCTTGGCTTGGTTTTCGCCCAGTTCCTCCTCCAGCAGCCACAGCTCACGCCTGTTCGTGCCGCTTTGGATTGACTTCTCATGTCGCCAAACATCCGGCCTTCCGTACCACTCCGACATCACCAAAGGCCCGACAAAGTTCCTGCCAAAGACATGGCTCTTTGCGCAGTCACTGACCGAGAAGTTCATTGACGCCACCTTCAGCAACGCAGGTCAAACAGATAATGACAATGTAGTGACGGGAAGACCATTGCTTCCCCGTGAGCTTTGTCGCAGCTTGCAAGAACACCCTCGCAGTGCCGAAATGGTCGTAGACATGTTGCAGCCTGGAAGTACGGCAGGGCACGACAAAGCAGCAGCGCGAGCCGCATCTGAGCTTCGTGCCATGGCTGGTCTGGCAGCTCCACGAAAATCCTCGGGGCGAAAGGAAAAACGCTCTCGCCGCTGTCCCAGGCGCGGCGGCACTTCGCTTCGCTTCATCGCTCCTCGGCGCCAGCTTCAGCAGGGCAGCCATCAGCTGCAAACTTCCCTGCGAAAGCAAACGTAAGACCCATGGAGCCACATGAAGCCAGAAGCGCAAGTTGACGAAGCATGGCTGGCGTTCAAGCCTTTTTTCCACGTCTGGAACCTCAAGCTCTGCTGGATCTAAAAGCCCAACAAGCTAAATTCGCACTCAGGCTCGTCGGACTTCTAGTGCAGCATCAGGGTGGCGAAGGCATCGCAGATCACCTCGAGTGTGAGTGAGTGGTCAGTGGGAGTGGGTGGAGAGCATGCAGAGAGAATGAGGAGTGAGCCGGAGTGAGGAGTGGTGAGTGAGTGGGAGTGAGGAGTGACGAAACTCAACCCAGGCATCAGCCTTTACGCAGAGCTTGTAGGTGATGTCTATATGCTATATCCGATAACCCACCATCACTAAGGCCCACTCGAATCGCCGCTGGCACCTCGGCCGCAAGCACTGCATCATGATGGCATAACCGAGAACAACACCTCTGCACAAAGCACTGCTGAAAGCCATATCTGATTCTCTGCAGCTACGCTTGGGCTCCACAGGTGTCATCCTTCCTTGTCAGGTCCACCAGAAACTTAGCTGACACTCACAGCCTCTAAAACACAAAAGCTGGACACGGCGGGAAGCATCGAGTCGCCCCGTGCATCTGCTCCAAATGTGCCGCCCTCATCCCACCGATATGACCAACTTTGACCGGCCAACCAAAACGCTACCGCTGGCACTGAGCTTCCCCAAAACACTAAGTGACTAAACTCCTGCTTTAAGCAGGTGCCAAACTGCTGAACAGAAGCTTGCCTGCTCTCTCGCTAGGCAAGTACAAGCGGGTTCCACCCGGCCCTTCAATAATGGGAGAAGAGGATTTAAAATCGCTCAGTCGACACAGTCGTCGAGTCGACATAACGGAGAGCCGACAGGCGTGTGGAAGAATGGGTTGCCTGCAGCTTCCCCAAGAAGCAAGTCCTCCTGAAAGCCGAGCGCATTGAAGCTCACAACCACATGGGCCCGGACAAGGCGATCAAGGGACTGGAAGGCTCGCTCGTGTCCGACACGTAGCCAGTGGAGGTTGTGCTGTCGGATTGGAAGAGGCTGTCGTGGCTGTAGCTGGCGTGTTTCAGCAGAGGCTTGCGGTGAGAGCTCTCCAAACTCTCCCGAAGCATCGCCGCAAACGCATTCGGCACCGGCTGGGCCACCATCCCAAGGCCCGGCGGAGGACTAATCGGGCTAGCCTCCTCGGAGCATTCCAGCCCCGGCGGTGCCCGGAAGTTCGGGGTCGTGTCCACGGTCAAGGCCGGAATGACACTAGGCAAGGATGTCGTCAAGGGCCGCGCATGCACGAACGGACCGACACTTGAGCCGATGGAGACCTTCTTGGGCTCTGCACTCTGGCGCCCGACCTTGCCCTTTTTCTGAAGGCGTCGGAGCTCAGACTTTCCGTGAGCGAAGGTGCATGCCTCGCCATTCTTGCACGTGCCCTTGCGTGCAAACTGGAAGCAAAGCTGCGTCGATACCAAGTCCGGCTGATCCCTCAACTCTGACTCAGTATGAGCAAAGTTGCAGTCAGCACCAAGGTGGCACCGATTCACCTTCCAGTACTTGCACATCCTCGTGAACTTGAGGACCTCGCGCGTCTCCTTCATCTGCGCCTCGGTCATGGCGGGTCTCCTACAGGACAAAACACCGAGGACCTTGGCGAGCAAAATGCTGCAAGTCCACCGTTGTGCAGCGTTCCATCAAAACTCCGTACTGCATGCATATGCAGCATGCACATTCTGCTGCATCATTTTCCGTCAATCTTCGTATGCACTGACATTGTTGAGGGCAGCAATATGTTTCAAACAGAGCTCGGCACTGCTTTGAGGCCAGAAGGTCTTCGGAACGAACCCACGTGTGCAGTGCTCTGAGATTTCTGCGGAATTCCCACTGCAGGAAATCAGACAAAGACCCTCTCTGGCTTGCTGTATGTCAGCTGGGTGGCCGCCAGATGTTTTAAAACTGGCCGGCTCCCCAGGAAAAAAAAGGAATCTACGTGTTTCGACACCTCTCACACCACAACCCCGGAGACTTTCCCGGGTGTGAAAACCTCTGGGAATGTTCGGAATGTTGAGTCTTGTGAAAAAGACTCCACTTGATGGATGAAATGCTCCGAGTACATCTTTAAAGCAATGTGAGAAAAGACTCCGAATCTCTAACACCAACGGCCCGGGGACGGGGTACTAAAAACCGGAGCACTCCAGAAAGCCAGGCTTTCCTCAGATGCACTGGCCCGCGGGCTCAACCCTACGGGCAATTGTAAAGACTGGAAAACCAAAATGCGAGGCACAGCGCCAAGCAACGCCCTGTTCTTGGCACTGAGCGAAGGAAGGGCCAAACTGGGACCAAGTAAGTGGCCACGTCGCACAATCCCGGCCTCACAACCAAAAGGGCCCACCTACGGGGCTCGCAGGCTCCGCAGGCTCACTGCCAGACGAGTATCCACTCAACCAAACGGTGGATGCCACACTGTCGGCACCAAGATCCCACTCCTTGTTGGCCGGGACCTTCGCATCCAGCTGAAGGGGTAGCTCTTGAAGCAGACAGTCGTGGCTGTAGCTGGCGTGTTTCAGCAGAGGCTTGCGGTGAGAGCTCTCCAAACTCTCCCGAAGCATCGCCGCAAACGCATTCGGCACCGGCTGGGCCACCATCCCAAGGCCCGGCGGAGGACTAATCGGGCTAGCCTCCTCGGAGCATTCCAGCCCCGGCGGTGCCCGGAAGTTCGGGGTCGTGTCCACGGTCAAGGCCGGAATGACACTAGGCAAGGATGTCGTCAAGGGCCGCGCATGCACGAACGGACCGACACTTGAGCCGATGGAGACCTTCTTGGGCTCTGCACTCTCGCGCCCGACCTTGCCCTTTTTCTGAAGGCGTCGGAGCTCAGACTTTCCGTGAGCGAAGGTGCATGCCTCGCCATTCTTGCACGTGCCCTTGCGTGCAAACTGGAAGCAAAGCTGCGTCGATACCAAGTCCGGCTGATCCCTCAACTCTGACTCAGTATGAGCAAAGTTGCAGTCAGCACCAAGGTGGCACCGATTCACCTTCCAGTACTTGCACATCCTCGTGAACTTGAGGACCTCGCGCGTCTCCTTCATCTGCGCCATGGATTATGGCTGATTCTGATCGAGCCGGCTTGCAGCGCTCTTACGTCTACAAGCTTGAGCCGTTGACATCACCAGCTACACTCATTCAACCGGAACTTCGCTGCATGCTGTTTCCTTGACTCAGGGCCTGGCACGCACTATCACGCTTTCTATTACGCTTTCTGCTAGCCTGGCCCATCCTGGGAACAGAAAACACACCGATCACGTGCGTAAAAAGGGCCACAGATCGGATCGCCCACAGGAATCCCGACACCGACCTGAACTGAGACGCTGACCGGCAGCCAGCAGTCCCAGCGTGCCGCTGGCTGAAGCTCGAGCAAAGAAGGGCTGCGGCAAAGAAGGTTGGGGGTGGGGGGAGGATGGGGGAGGCACGGGGGAGGCACGGGGCACCGCTCGGAAGCGCCAGGGCCAGGCCTCCACTCGGCTCCAGCCCTGCTCAGTGTACTGGTCGGTCGAAACCTGACACGAAGGAAGGCGAGACGATGCGATACGTGATATGCCCCGAGGCTACGACATTGTCAACGTGGTGGACCTCAGCCACACAAGCGCTGCGACATCTCGATCTGGGCTCGGTCACAATGCTCGGTGCCATGCAACAGAGAGGAGGAGAAGAACATCACAAAGGTTGCCAGCGGCTGCGAGGCCGGAAACCTGCAACGAAACCATTGCAGCCAGGGCAAAGCATCAGTCATCGGGGCGTGAGCACAACGGGTTCAGAGACGGTCGGAAGCCTTCTTGAAATCCCAGACGTCCGGTGCCAAGAAGCAGTTTGGCAATTTCCTGCAGGCTGTCTTCCCTCTCAACACTCCAATGAGCACCTGGGACTGAAGAACCCGGCAGTCGATTGATCCATCGGAGGTGGGTTTGAACAGCCTTCGTCGCAATGATTTGCTCCTGGCACAGTCGAAAAGCTGACGACTGCCCGGGTAAACCAAGTCATCATCTCCTGCGTACCATCTAAGCCCGTCGTGCCGTTTCCGATACCTACCTGGGCTAGGCCCAGCTCTTCAAAACAGCGAAAAAATTACTTGAAGTTGCGAACACCCAGCAGAGCTCTTGGTTTCCGACCGACCCCTCCACGCCGAACACGGATGCCTGAGGATAGGCCACGGCCGCCTGCCCACAGAGTCCCCGAATGGGACACGGAATTCTAAAACAGTGGGCATGCTGCCGGCACTCCTGCAAGCTGAAGAAGCCACAGCAGCTACCGAGGTCGATCAACGAAAAGGCTGCCTGACGTCAGCACATGTCAACTTGGCACACTAACACCGCAGAAGGCCTCACCGATGCATCGAAAGATCTCCGCATCAATGGCTGCCCAACCTCGTTTCGCTGGGGAGCTAAGACCGTCACTTGCTCGAGTGACTGGTGCCCTCGTGACGCTGCGACACTTGTGCAGAGCTTTCGGTAGAGGCCGGTTACCCTCTTAAGCCCATCTGTGCCCCATGTGGAAGAGGGGAAGGTAAAGGCTCAGGCGAGTGACGAAGTGCAACCACGGCCGGTCGATGTACCTGACGCTCAGATCAAGCTGGCCTCTAGCCGCTAGCCACGCGCAAGTGCTGGAGGCACGTGAACTCGTTTTGCGGCAGCCGCACAGCAACACGAGACTCCGCTGAAACCTGACAGCAGTGCAAGAAAAGCGGTGAAATCTGCTTGCTGGGAAAGCCTCAGGCTCAAACCCCCGGCGACGTCAGCCAAACACTGCTGCCATTTCCGGCATCTGAGGTTGCAGTGAGCCCATGCATGCGCGAAGAAAAAGGGCGACAAGGTTCTATCCAGTTGGCCAAAACTTTGGCACTCTCCCACAAGATCGTCTCCAGTTCCCGCATGAGGACGGGAACATGCTGGGTTAGCACACAATGCTAATCAATGACAGCGTGAGGATATTTCCGGCATGTGCCCCATTGCCTGATGTGCTGTCGTTGGTCGCCCCACGACCCGCTGCTGCAGGGGCCACCGAAGGAACTGCTGCTTGCCCGTGGGCCGGCATGCCTCGCGCATACAAGATCTGATGTACGCAAAGGTTTGGCAGTAGCACTGGAACTGCTGGCAAATCAGTATTCACATCAAGCCTGGCCTGCCCCCGGCAACGTAGCCACTGCACGGCCGATGGCCTCCGGAGATGTCGGAAACAGCGTGATTCCTCGCTAGTTCACACAGCTTCCTGTTTGTCCAAACAGGCAGAACGATCAAAGGTAATCATCCGTATCCGATCACTTGGGCTTCCACAGCAGCGGCGGCCACGACCTCGGAGTTGAAGGTGCAGGGCAGGGCCGGGCAGGTTCGTGTGGCAAAAGTATTAAACCCAAACATGGCAGAGTGCCGTCAAACCTCATTCTTCCACGCAAGTTGCCCTCCTCCCTTTACCTTGCTCCATGGCAGTGGGCGGATCCCGAAGCCACTCTGAGCATTTTCAGAAACTCCGGAAGCTGCATCAGCACTCGCATCGCAACCGGTCTACAGTGTGCGGACAGGGTAACTGGGAGTGATCCGGGATGATTGGTCGCGGCTGCAGGTTGTTCATGCTGTATCAGCATGGTGTCTGCAGGATGTCCTAGCATGAGCCTGCCGCAATCCCGGCAAAAGCTGTGCGTCGTGCTGATGGAGGCACCTCCCTCGGCTGTGGCTTCGGTGGCTTCTCCGCCATCAACGACATCCGCGTAGGCTGGCGTCGCAACGTGTGGTCCACGCACAGCCTACCCAGAGCTCAGGCCGCACCTTGGCAGGTGCCGGCGCTGCGTGTAGCGCCTGGGCGCACAGCCGAGGCAAAAGTTCGCGGCAGAAGACAGAAGACAGACCGGACAGTGCTGTGCGCTGCGTGTTTCGGCTTCCGGCATCGTTGGTGCCAAACTCATAGACCTCGATGGGCTCTGGAGCTGCTTAGAGCACACAGGCGACGACCGACTCTATCTGAACCCTCCCAGGTCCCAGGGTGCAGGCCGAAGTCTTTGGGAATTGTCCTGCCTAATGCGCAGGCGGATCCATGATGGCCGTGTTTGGCAAAGGCCATGACCAGACCACTTCTGGCCTGGATGGCAGCTGCCAGTGCGGGAGAGCCGCGGCTCGCAGCAAGCTTCAAGGCTGCAGCCTCGCCCAGCCGGTAAGAACACCGGAATCGACTTCTAACGCCGACCGGGGTGCTTGCAGCATCGTTTCCAGCAGCGATGGTGCTAAGCGGAGGTTCAATGCCCATGCCTCCGGCCTATTTACGCCGTTATGAACTTGCTTTGTGGCCCAGTATCACATCTGTATATACAGACTCTCCAGAGCAGGCCAGTAGCGTTAGGTGGGATGCTGACTGCTGACCGCCCGTATTGCGAAGTTACACCCAGTCTTCGTGGATGAATCATGCTACAGCTGTCAACAACCATGCAGCTGTCAACAACCATGTAGTGCCACACTTTGAGGACTACAAACGATGCAGCCATCTGGGCTCAACATTACGGCGTATTACGGGCCATTCGCCCGTCCCGATCATATCCGATCACTACACCTGTCCGTCTGTCCGTCTTCTTGATCCGACAATGGCGAATCATCCACTGAATCGCATCCCAGCATCACAAGCCTGCCAACCACTTTTGCATGTCGAAGCTGTCCTAGGTCCTAGGATCGAATTTGCGGTGGTGGTCAGCCGCAAGCATGATCTCTACAGACGCCGCCCGCCACTCGCAGGGGATTCCACGCCGACACTCCATATTGCCGAACGAATTCTGGGGTCGGCGATGGCTACTGCCACATACCGCCACCACCATCGAATATGTCGGACCGACATGCATCTTGCCCTCAGGCATCTTCCCTGTCATGCTGGAGCCAGAAGCACAGAAGGCTCTGCAGTGCACTCGCGAGCCTCTTGCGTTTCCGATTGCCGAAGCCCAGGAAGGACGCCAAGGAGGAGCAGCCCTGCCTCCAAAGAGGGGTGCGAATGCAGGAGCGCGAAAGTGAGAGCAGTGCTCCAGGGTCTGAGTGCGCAGCGAGGGAAGCGGTGCCTTCAAGCTTTCCTCCGCCGAGCGAGTGGCGCGGAGTGGCGAAGCGGCACGCTTTCAACGTGGACACCGCAGGCCGATGCGCCTTGGAGAGGGACACGCCGCCCACTCCGGAGAGAAGCTGAGGCACCTGGCGCACAGACCATCGCACTGCATCACACTGCAGCGCACAGCCGCAAGCTCACAAAGCACAACGCATCCTGCCACTGCGGTGAGCCTCCTTCTCCAGCACAGCGTCCAGTCGGCGCACGTCTCCCGTGCCGGGCACAGGCAGGTGCAGCAAGCCTGCCACGGCGGAAGCCAGTTTCGCTGACAAGGTTGCCTCATTCCAGCCGGTAGTTGCTTTGCTTCGAAGAAAAAGCCAAAGGCTGCGGTATGAGCTTGTCGACAAACAGTCAGTGCACTGGCCCACAATCCGTGAACACACCCAAGCCCGAAACCCCGGGCATGATACCTTGCTAGCACAAGTCTCCAGTGGACCCGACACGCAGTCCAAAACGCTTGAGTACAGTATTTGCTGCACAGCATGATGCCAGCCACTGTCTTCGCAACACCTGATACTTTAAATCCCAGGTCCAAAGTGTATCAGAATCAGGCGTTCAATTCTGGGGTCTGGGGCGCAGCGTCCAGGGGAAGGCGGCATGGTATCACCCATGAGCCCGATCGGCCTTATCGAGCCTCTGTACAATCCGCTTGATATCGTCTTTGGAAGGGAAGTCTAACAGCAAGATCAACGCAGCCGTCATAGTTCGAGGGGCGCGACACTCAAATCCGGCGCAAGTTCCGTTGTGAAGAATCCCAGCTAAGCATGACTTCTGTCTAGGTGTAGGCGCCGCAAGTACAATGATGCAATGTGACGCAGTTCTTGCCCATCTGTCTGCTGTCCGTGTGCACACTATTAATGTCAGATATCCGCATGAAAATGGCACACCAAAAACCATGCACGCAAGCCCTCTTTTGCATGGTGGATTGGTGTGGCTGCCGACTCCCGGGATGTTCCTTCGGTCGAAGACCTCAGCCAAGAAAGAGGCCGTTTCAAAGCACAGGAGGGTCCCCTCCTTCAGGGCCTACGGCACCTGTGGATCGGGAACCCTCCTTATACAGAAAAGAGTTCCAAAATTTTGTGCCGTCCAGAAAGAAGCCTGTACAGGAGGCAGCCACATCCTCACCGGGCGCCCTGCGCGGGCCCATGGGTGAGGTCAGAAGGATCGTCGAAAATACGATCTTCCAGGATAGAGCGGATGAGGGAAAAATGCTCGAGCACGGGTTCCACCGGCAAGCAGAGAGATGGAGTGAAACCTTGAAAGTTGGGATGAGTCAGATCATCAGCCCAAGTGTTGAAGTCACGCTTGACGTGGGAGGGTGCGAGCTGCATACCATGCCGGTGCAGCTGGTACAGTATCTCCATGAGGATGACCGACGTTGGCATCCTCTTGGACTTATCGTTCAGGAGCGAGTACACATTCCCTTGGTTGTCGCTGACCAGGGGGAGCCTGAGGTTCGGTATGAACGCAGGCGCCTTCTCCATGAGAAAGTGAGAGAGGATCAGTGTGCCAAACATCTCGAGGGCAGCAATGCGCTTTTTCGGGCAGCCCTTGTCAAATGCCCATGGATGCCGCTCTGCAGTGACCTGGTAGTGGAACCAGAACACTTCCGACTTGGACGGGGAGTCCGCGTTAGAGAGCCAGCCGCCCACATAGGCGCTGCCATCATCTGAGGCGCTAGCATCACTGGCCCCCGACCAAATGGCAAGCGGGGCATACGGAGATGCTTGTCGGAACTTCTGGTCAAAAAGAGAGAGGAGTAGAGCCGAGAGCGCACGGATAAGCTTACCCGGACGCCCTGCTGTCAGGCAGGCCTTCTTCCAAGCCCAAAAGGGTTGGAGGAAAGGCTTGGTGAGGGGGCAGGCCGTTGTCGCCCACTGCAGCCTACCCAAAGCGCTAGCGATCTGAGAAGCCGACATGACTTTACCGCTTTTAAGCTCTTCAAGAATGCCGATGACAAGCAGGTGCTTGTCTCGGGCCATCTGCACACAGGGTCCTTTTGGGTCAATGACAAAGCCAAGCCAAGTATTAACCTCAGCAAGCAGGGTTTTCTTCCAGCTCAGAGGAGTGCCTAGAGCAAGCAACAGCAAACAAATCGCTGTTGCCAGCAGAGGGGAATTCGATTTACGGAGTAGCCAGGCAAAGTCGTCGACAAAGACGAAACCCCAGTCAACCTCGGGAAACACGGCATACACAATCCTAAGAAGGATGGCAGCCATCCTTCCCCAGTAGAGCTGGGCACTGGCCATTCCATAGGTGCCTACGGTGTTGACCCACCATTCTTCACCAAGCTGGGCAACTTGGTAACGCCATTCTCTTAGGAGAATCTTGATTCTCCTGTGCGCCTTAGTAACATCAGCTTTGAGCAAAATCCAGTCCTCGTTAGAGCCCGGGAAGCTCCAGGGTCGGCCGGAGCCGGCACTGGAGTCTGCGTTGCCCGAGGGGCCGTCCTGTTCTCGGCTTGTCGCCCCTGGGGCAGTAGCCAGGGTTGCCTGCTCCTCAGGATCAGGGCCATGGGCACCTGGTTTCCCACGAGAGCGAGATGCCCGAAGCCAATGCAGGCATTGGACGCAGTCCATGACCGTCGGGGCCGTGGTTTTCTCTACGGTATTCTGCTGTATACGGAGATTAGCACCACCCTTAGACCCGTCGAAGATGGAACGGATCTTGTCCGACTCATCAATCCCTGCCATGGGGCAGGGGCAGAGCTCGTCCTCTGCACATTGGCAGTGCGCCGCTGCCTCGGCGCGGGTGCACGGTCCAATGACCATGCCCAAGGGGGTTTCCTCCACAAAGGTGGCCCGAATCTCCTCCCTAAATGTCTCCGCGGAGGAGTAATTGGCATGGCCAGTGGGGGGTGGAGCTTCCACCGGGTCCCACTCTTCACCAATGAGTTCCGACTTCAAGGGCCAGACGCCTGGAGATTGGAGAGTAGGGGTATCCACTCCAAGAGGGACTCCTTCTTTTAGTATCTGCGGATACTCAGCATCGACATCTTGGATGTCACACAGGAGCCTCCTGATCACGTCCAAGTGAAAGGGCTGTCCAACATCCGGTTGGGTGTGCCGGGGCAAGATGAAATCCCGGATCTCTTTGAGAACAGATTCCGGGAAGGGGTGCTGCTTGGCACCCGCGGCCGTTGAGGCTAGAAAAGAGGGGACCAACGGCCCCGCCTTTTCGCGAATGAACTTGCCCAGAGCAGGAGCCGTCGGTCCTTTGCGAAGGTGTGGAGGGGTCCTACCCGGCGAGGTCTTACCTCCACCATCCCTTAGGGGCCTAACCTTAAAGCCATGGGTCACACGCATTGTGGCATCATCTAGGGTAAGCTTCTCCGAGAGCGGTAGCGTCGAAGGCCGATCACACCCAATCATCGGGGTCGCAGCGAGCAAGTGATCGCCTGCATGGGTACCTGCACCAGGAAACCCAGCAATCTGACGCTTCCCCCCCAGCGAGGGTAGGGAGGGTTGAACAGCCGCCCCGGGGGGTGCTGACCCTTGAGCCGCCCAGTGAGGACGCTCCTGTCCCAGCGAGGGACCAGCAAGGAGTTTGGAAACAGGATCCGGCGGTGAATCCTTAACTGGAGAGCCTGTGTCGCGAAGTTTACCAGCTAGTGCCGATGCGATACACTGTAGCATGGCTTCAGGTCGTCGAGCGTCCCCCGGCACGGGACGATCCGGTTTAGGGTGATGGGTGTGTGTGCAGGTCTTACCCTCCCAGGATTGGAGGGGAAGATTCGTCACGGCTCTAGACGGACGACTAAAGACCCAACCAAAGGAACACAGATCAAAGTGCAGAATACGAAGACCTAAATCTGAGGTCCAAGCACGCAGGGCCGAAGTGGCCCAGGCCGATGAGGAGCGTCGTTTGGACGGAGAAGTGGCTCCTCGCGCAGGGTCCTCAGCCATCTCCAGAAAACAGAAGACCTTAGTAGGTGCATTCGACGAAGTCGCCTTGAAGGCAAGCCAGGTAAGCAGAAGGAACCTAAGGAGCAGGGTGCTCTCCTCATCCGCCGAGTGGAGCGTTGCCTCAGGCAGAGCGGCAATCCCCCAGGCGTTCTCCGCCGAGCGGGACCTAACTGCCTGAAGAGTACCCGAGTCCTGAAACCATCTATCCAAACCCCAGGTGTTGAGGTCCGGGCATCCTCCCACAAAGGAGATGCTTCCTTG